GCCCTATCAGAGAGTTCTTTGCTGACCATCCTATGGAATGGAGTTCCCCTCCTCGGCAGCATTCTGGTCCCTCTTCCCTGCCGATTTTTCACATAGCACAGGTCACTGCCTGACTTGTGTGTTTATCATCCATCTCTTCCCCAATTCGAACATGAGCTCGCGGGAGCAGGGACATTGTCTCGTTCCCTGCTGGATCCTCAGTGGCTCCAATTGTACTTTGCCTGTAGTATGCATTTAATAAATATTTGTAGAATGAATATAAGAACACATGTATGCTGGTATTCAGGTTCCCAGAAATGATGACCACCCCCCCCACCTTGGGCTATGTAGAGTAAACAAATGCTAAAGGATAATAAAAAGACCCTATTTATCCGACTTTGTGAGCCCGAGCAGGGTGAGTGCATCCAGTTCGTCAGAGAACCTAGGGAAAAGGACAGATTTCTGCTGGTCCAGAAAAACTCAAGTTGACAAAGATACAGGTACCATGCTTAATTCTGCCCGTCCCCACTCAGCGCCTACAACAACTGGGTAACAGCTCCTCTGAACCAGTGGAGTGGAGACACAAATGTTCTGTGTCCGTGTTTCTTTTTCACTTGAGATATACTTACATACCCTGAAATTCTCCCTTCCAAAGTGTGCAAGTCAGTGATTTTTACTACATTCACCATGCTGGGCAACCATCACTACTATGTCATTTCTGAACATTTTCATCACCCCAGCCTTTTATTTATAATGTTAAAACTTTCTTTTTTTTTTTTTTTGAAAGCCTTTATGGTTTGTGCTTAGGTCTTCGAATCCCTGTGTCTCTCTGTAGAGTGCGTGCTGCCTTCCAGGGCTGCTGTTCCTAGGGGTCTGCCCAGCAAACCCACACATGCTCCGTCTGGCACTCGCCCAGCAGTTCCTGCGGTGTTTGCCCCCGTCCTCCAGGTCTGCATCACCCCAGCCTTGCTGGCGAGACTGGAGGCTAGGTTCAGAATTGAACTACATATAAGGCAGACATTGGATCTTGCAGAGAGCATTATTACTACAAGCTTTTATGTTTAATAATAAAGTTCCAGTAGCTAACATTTATTAAATGATGGCTTACTAAATTCTAGAACTGCTAATCCTTTATGCGCATCATTTTGCTTTATCTTTGCACATTTCTTATGAGGTAGATATTGAGAAAACGGAGGCTTCCGAAGTTGTTTGGCTTCCTGGTGTTCTTTCATTATCTTTTAGCATGTGTTTGTGGAGGTCGTCATTGCTGAGAAACTGAATACCGGCTACGGAGGCCGTCAGACTGGTATTTGGACTCCGGTTTGGTTGCAGAGGGCTTCATTTTGTCAGCTGTTACTCTATATCCAGAAGATAGAAGTTAGTTCTGCTACCTAAAGTTACCATTTTTCCCTCTCTTGTTTATTCTATGAGCCAGGACAATAAGATGCATTTCTATATTATATAATGTAATGAGGTGGAAATTTTCATGGGTTAGCAAAAGTTTATGAAAACATTGTAATTATGGAATTCTGTAATGATCTCTTACCAAGATATTAGTTCTGGGGGAAGATTTCCTCTGATCTGAATAATGAATTAAATTATAAATTGCCTGTTGTTTCACATGGGAAGGAAATATTTTTGGATTTAATCATCATCATCATGTCTAATTCAAAGTGCTAGCTGATGGGCTAGGAAGACTGTGACAGTAGTCTGTACTTTGAGGAAATGTAGGTCCATGTACTATGCATCAGTACATTATGAGCTCAGCATGAAAACGTAGACACAATTGACTGTTGAGACTAACATATTTTAGGGAGTGGAAAAATTACAAGTTTTCCTGTTTTTTTTTTAAAGATTTTTTATTTATTTATTTGACAGAGAGAGACACAGCGAAGAGAGGGAACACAAGCAGGGGGAGTGGGGGAGGGAGAAGCAGGCTTCCTGCGGAGCAGAGAGCCGGATGCGGGGCTCGATCCCAGGATCCTGGGATCATGACCTGAGCCGAAGGCAGGTCGACTGAGCCACCCAGGCACCCTTATTTTCCTATTCTTTTAGACCTCACGTAACCTTCTGATTCTTCTTTTCCATTAACCCCATATCTTAACAGTTGCTATTTTCTGTTAGTTCTGCCTCTTCTTCTCTTGTAGCAATTCTCCTTTCCTGTCCTCTGCTTTGGCCTGCAGTTCTTCACGCTTTACCCAAACATGACAGATAATGAGAATTACTACAGGATCTTGAAAAATTACAGTTTCTTATTCCTAGTGGGATTTGAAAATCTGCATTTTAAGCATCCCAAGTGACTTGATGTGCAGGCCCCATTTGGGACTCATCATCCCAGAAAACCGCCCTCTCTCTCCTTTGCCCAGCGCTTACTTTACCATTCCTAATCCATCCCTGTCTGGCCTCAGGAAGGCGATACTCACTACCCTGCTTCTGTTGGCATTTTTGCAGATGCGCCCACCACTTTTTTTGAGTCTTTGGTTACCTCCTCAGAGCCTAGATTGTCCTTTCTTTCCATTTCTTTGACTTGTAGAGATTCTATGTGGCCTTCAAGGCTCAGCGTCATTGTTACTTTAATTTTGAAGCCTTTTCCAGTGGCAAACAGCTGCCCCTGTCTCCCTTCTTCAGTTTTATATCTATAAACACACATGATCTCTTTTATCTTAGCTTCTCTTCTCCTCAACTGGATTCCTTATTCCTGTCTGAATTCCACACAGACTCTAGCACAGCACATTTAATGGTATTTGAATGTGTTTCTTAAAAGAATGAATGGGTGGAAACTCAACGGTAAGACGTACATACACATTTTCTTGACTGCTCAGATGTTTAAAACTCCCTCTTCCCCCATTTTATGCTGGAGAAGTTAAATCAGTACTTTTTTTGGTGATTTGGCAATTAACACTGACATTATTTAGGCAATGCGAAGTCGGCATTTGGTTTCTGATCTGCCTGGGATTATTTATAAATAATAAAGCTAGGTGGATTATTTATAAAGCTGGCAAGCTGGGTGCTTCGTGGTTCCTAAAATCTCTTTGTCTCTGGACTTCACCCTTAGCTCTATCACTTTTCCCTGTTGCTGAGATAGGAGGTACGTGGCCTACGAGTCAGAATGCGCTTAGATAGAAAGCAGACAGCAGGAACTGGTATTATCAGACACATCTGAGATTGTTACCTAGGCTGTATTCCGAGTCAGCTGTGGAAGATGAGAAGTGGGCATTAGTAGAATGGCTTAATAGCTTCTTTTATTATTCTTTTGGCCAAAATTTTCCACAAAATGCATTCTTATCTTGAAGTTACTAGCCTTTACATGTCCGCTTCAATTCTAAGTACTTTGGGTTGACTCATTGAGAGTAATTAGTAACTTAAAGTTCTGCAGTATTTTCTAACCTCTGAGCTTTTTACCTATAACATCATTATTGTGTCCATGTAACTCTGGTTGGAAAAGTTTCCTTGGGCTATTTAAACTATCTGCTGGCAGATGGGGTGCCTGGGTGGCTCAGTTGTGGTTAAGCCTCCATGACTCTTGATCTTGGCTCAGGTCATGATCTCATGGGTCATGAGTTCCAGCCCCATGTTGGGCTCTGTGCTGGATGTGGAGCCTCCTTTAAAAAAAATGTTAAACTATCTGCTGGATCAACGCAACCACATTCTAACCACTTTGTAGCAATTAGAGTTCATGTTTCTTATTGTATTGTTTACATTGCCATTTAAGAAGGAAGATCTTTGGCAGGAAGCTGCTCTTAAAAGTTTTCTTAAATTAATTGTAGCTATGTTATTTCCTTCTGAGTATCTAATATTATTTGTATAGTAGATACTATCAAGAAAGGTCTCTTTTACTGCTGTTTAACACTCAAAACTAAAACACTTATGTTCTAACTGTACTTACTAGCTAGCGTCAAACTGTAATCTGGTATCATTGAGTTTTTAAATAAAAACTTTTAAATAAGGGTGACTTTTAAGATATTTTCATTAGAACATCTATACATCTATACTATTCTCTTTTGTACTTGCTTAGGCTCTTAGTACTTGAGTACTTTTTGTTACTTGTTTTAGGCTTAGCAAGGAAAGGCATTAGAAGAGAAAGAATTTCTTGAACTTTATAAACAGAGAAATTTGATTTGTCCCAAGATTTTCAGCCTGTTTATGAGCTAATGCAACCCAAAGTAGTAGAAGGTAGGAGGATATTTTGGTTTTTTTTGTTGTTTTTTTTTTTACCCTTGGCAAGCATAGTGTTTATACTTCCAGATCTTTATCCTTTGTCAGAATGGTCCGTTTCAAATATGAGGAGAGAAATATATTAGTACTTGAGTATGTGGAGCTAAAAAGCAATTCCATCAAGATAACACAGCAAAAAATGTGTTAGCTTCAGTTTCCGTCCACGATAGCTACTTGTCAAACAGTCCTTTTTTGAAAAAAGAGAAATCCATCTTGTACAAGACAACACTGCCTACCTTTGTGTCTACCTTTGGCAGTAGACTTTTATCAGCAGTGTGACCAGATGTGTTTCTGCTGCCAGCTTGAAGATCCAGTAGGATAAGCAATAATAACGATATGCTTGAAACTCATATTTGAAAAGAAAAAAAAAAGTTTTCTGCATTACACTTTCTTGGATAACAAAAGTGAACATTAGCACTCTTTCTGCAGATGTGAGTATGCTCTGACCTGATGTTATTGGAGTTATTATTGTTTCATTGTTAAGAAGGGCTTATTGTATGTTGAGATAGCTTTATCTCTAATATTTAGATAAAGCAATATATCCATGTGGCCCACAGTTTGCAGATTAAAAAAGCAAACATTTAATATTTGACTTCCTTATCTATGATCGTAAAAACATTACCTGTTCATTGTGGAAATTACTTGGGGGAAATAAAGAGAAATATAAAGAAGCAAGGAAAGAAGTTTCCTATAAATCCAGGACCTTGAGACAACTACTGCTAACATTTAAAGTACTTCTATTTAATCCTTTGGGGAGAGTGCTTTTTTACATATATCATTCAATTTTATATGTTGCTTTTTGTTGTTAAACTCAGGTCATAGCGTGTTTCTGTGCTACTGATATTTCTGTGTGAACTTCATGTTAAGGACAGCTTAGTCTTTCATCTCAGTGTGAGATAATAGAAAGTATTTATATATTGGTTTCTGTACCTAGTTCCTGGCACAGAACTCCTAGAACATTTGTAATTTTCTAAGTGGTAAGAACACAAGGAGCATCTCTTGTTTTAGACCCCATACTTAACATAGGGCTCCTAAAACCCTTGTAGATTCCTGAGTGATAAGACCACGAGGACCATTGTTGTTCTAATGAGGGGACTCTGGGTGGACTCCTAGGTGGCTCCTAGATTGGGGCTGGTCACCAGAAAGACCAAGCTGATTAGAAGGTTGGAATTTTCTGCAAATTCTCCCCACTCTCTAGAGAGGAGAGAGGGGCTGGAAATGGAGTAAATAATTGATCATACCTATGTGAGGAAGCCTCCATAAAAATCCCAATAGGAGGTTTGGGGAGCTTCCTGGTTGGTGAACAGTTTATACCAGGAGTGTAACACACCCCAGCTCCATGGGGACAGAAGTCCCTGGGCTGGCTCCCAGATCTTACCCTATATATCTCTTCACCTGGTTGTTTATCTGTATCCATTAATAAACTGGTAATTGTGAGTGTTTCCCTGAGGTCTGTAAGCTGCTCTAGCAAATTAACCAAATCTGAAGGGGAAGGTCATGGGACCCTCTGATTTATATGGCCCATTGGTCAGAAGCCTAGGTGACAAGCTAGATTTGTCATTGGCATGTAAAGTGTGCTGTAGTGACAGAAAAGAGTTAAATTGTAGAACACCCAGCTGGTATCGCAGAGAATTGCTTGGTGGGGAAAACCCCTCACACGTTTGGTGACCAGAAGTGTTCTGTGTGCATTATCAGTAAGGGAGACCCACAGGAGAGGACACTAGGTTTTCCCCTGGTCACTCAGCTTCCTGATCCTTGGCCAGGAGGGGGATCCAGCAAGAGTGTGTCGTGTTCTGGCACACTTGTTTAATTGTGGGGGCCTGACAGTAAGTCAGGTTCCTGTCTTTTTTTTTAAATAAAGATTTATTTATTTTTTAGAGCAAGAACACCCGAGTGGGGGGAGGGGCAGGGGGAGAAGGAGAGGGAGAGAGAATCTCAAGCAGACTTCCTGGAGCCCCGTGCAGGGCTCAGTCTCAGGACCCTGAAATCATGACCTGAGCTGAAATCAAGAGTCGGCTGCTTGACCGACGGAGCCCCCCAGGCACCCCCGGGTTCCTGCCTTTATCACACTTGAGAGGGAGCCTTGGTGCCTCTGCTGCTCGAGTTGCCACACACACGTTTTGTCATTTTTAAACATTTCTAATGTCAGGGACAGCCAGAGATGGCATGTCATATTTAATTGGTAGCATTGTTATTTTCATAAAGGAGCGAGAGAAAATAATTGTGTCTTACAATCTAGAGTATCTTAGATGCAATGAAATAGCATATCTTCTTCCTTCCCTCCTTTTTAGGATGAGCGAGTCTCCCCTCCATCGTTCTGACTCGTTCCCCTGCTTATTGACCTGTTTGACTTCCACCTACCATCACTGATGCCAAAGTCTACTCTTGAGCCTTATAGTCCATCTGATTGTGGTCTGGATCTGTTTTTTTTTTTTTTAAGATTTTATTTATTTATTTGACAGAGAGAGACACAGCGAGAGCAGGAACACAAGCAGGGGGAGTGGGAGAGGGAGAAGCAGGCTTCCCGTGGAGCAGGGAGCCCGATGTGGGGCTTGACCCCAGGACCCTGGGATCATGACCTGAGCCGAAGACAGACGCTTAACGACTGAGCCACCCAGGTTCCCCTGGATCTGTTTTTATTACCATCTTTTCTTAGGCTTTATCTTGCAAGAGCAAGATACCTTCTTCTAACCTGTGAGCCCTCTCCATGGGCACGGGCCTCCCGGGGTGTTGATTCCATCCAGCCTGGGTTTAATGCCACTTTACCCTCCTCCACTTGACTAAAAGGATGTCCTGGTTTTAGCCACTTTTGAAATCAGACCAAGACTGCTGTGCTTGATCTCTCCAGTAGTGTTATCCAAAGCCAGTGTCTACAAACTGACTAGTTCCCTCCAATGCCAGGAAGTCAGGTTTTCTCCAGATCTGACTTCTACCTACACTTGTTTTAGGGAAAGATGAACATGTTGCATCTTAGGTTCATGTTGAGGCATCAGGTAATCAGGTCAGGCAGGTAATGGCTTAGGCGGCTTGGGGACTCAGCAGTGTTAGAGTATGAACACGTAGATGTGACTGTCATCTCTGTAGC